TTCTCGGGCTTCCTGGGGGGATGAGAGACAGGCTCAGCCGGGCACCCTTGCCACCCCCTCCTCCGCGGCACCCTGCCCGCCCCACCCTGAGCTCACAACGTGGGGGAACTGGACCCGCCCGGTGCATGGCGGTGGGTGCGGAGCGGGGCCCTCCTGAAGCCCTGCACCGCCCCAGTGCCTGCGTGCACACAACAGCCTTGCCCGGCCTAGCTCCTCGGCCCCTGTGCACTGGAGCCCCGCCGGGCACACACAGGCCCACCTGCCCAAGACGAACCACCTGCCACCTGTCGAGCATGTGCTCTGTGCTGCCACCGTCTGAGGACCCCCCACGCCAACCCACTCGTTTCCCACACCGCTCCTTGGGGTTGGCATGCTTGTCACCTGTGCTGTTCAGGAGCCTGACAGCTGTGTGACCTCGCTGGGTCCTGAGCGCCCTTGTTGATTGGACTTACTGGGCTAACGCAGTCCGGCACCTGGCATGGTGCTCAGTGCTCACAGTAAGCATCAGAAAGGGTTAGGGTTAACCTCAACTGACAGCAGAGGAAACGGAGGTGCAGCACCAGAGGAAACGGGGGCTGAGCCCGCCCAGTGGGGCCGAGTGTGTCACCTGCACTGGGAGCCGTGGACCAGGAGGGCTGGAGGCCCCTCAGGGCTGGGCAGTGAGCCAGCAGGCCCCTTCCTCCCTCCGAGCCTTGGGCCTTGTTGCTTGGTGCCAGCTCGGCTGTCCCCCCAGGGAGGCACCGGTGGTCAAAAGACGCAGCGTAGTGGAAGGTGCCACCAGTCCCCATGCACATCTGACCCTTGGAGGGCGGTGCCCTCTGACAAACCTGGAGCCTCTGACGCGCGAAGGGCTGCAGAGCCCTGGGGCTGCGCCTGGCACTTGTGCAGGGGCCAGGTAGCAGGGTCGCCTCCAACTAGGGGCTGAGTCCTACTCCTTACCCCAGAGGTTAGAGGCCAGTGTGCTGCTGTCCCCCGGGGGCATGGAGGTGAAGGCCAGGGACTGCCTCGCGCCATCAGCCGTGCAGCTCCTGGCTGACGGCGGGTGTGACAGACGGCATGTTCTACGTGCAGGCAAACATCCGACTGCAAGGCGACCCAGGTGGCCGCACACGCCAACCTGGCCCTCAGGAACTTGGCTGGAGCAGCCGCCGGCCAGCTGGGTCCAGGAACAAAGTGGTGACCGAGTGGCCCTGCTCCCCGACGTCCCCATTCCTCCCCAACTCTGGGGTCCCCAAGGAGGGGCCGCCCACCACCAGGGCTCCACCCTCTCGGCTGCTGCTGCTGATGCAGCGACCAGGGGTTGGGCTTCCTCGTTCCCAGTTCCACGCCAGCCCCCACTGGTCCCCTCCACGCCTGCCTCTGCCCACCTCTACCCCAGCGCCAGCCTGCAGATGTGATTTCTTCGGCCACACAACGTTAACAGGAAAGAATTCCAGTTAGCTGCCAACATTGAGCAACTGTGAGCGCACACAGGACCTGGAAGACGACTTCCAGCTTCTCTCGAGAGACGGTCTGGCACCCCGGGCCTGCGTTCCCATGTGGGAATGACTGGGATGGCCGGGCTGGGCCTCCCCAACTTAGGCGTCCTTGGCACCCACCTGCCCGGGCCCGCCTGGCCCCTCGAGGCCCTAACATGATGTCCTGGTCCAGCCCTGCCTCCTCCTGCTGCCCTGGGGGTGCCGGCTCTCCCCTCTCTGCCCCAGCTGCTCCCTCCTGAGCTCACATGCCGACGTCACGCGGCATCACGGGTTCCAGGTCCACCCCGAGGGGCTCCGAGCCCAGCGGGCAGGCCGAGCTGTCAAGGGGCCGTGGGGACTCGGACTCCTCACGGATCACGCGAGTGCCACATGCCGACTGCGTCCTGGGCGGCACCCCAGAACGCCCAGCGCAGCTCCTGCAGCTCCCCAGTCTGAAGGGCAGAGGGGCCGAGTGAGGGCGGGAGGGGCTCCTGCCGGGGACGCAGAGGCTTCTCTGAGCAGGTGCCCACGGGACAGTGACCGGAGTGGTCAAGGAGCTTCTGGTGGAGGCCACAGCGGATGCAAAGGCCCTGACGGGGGAGTGCGTCTTGCAGGATGGAGGCTGTGAAGCCACTCCAAGGTGGAGGGAAGGGGCCCTGGGGTGGTGGGGTTGGCGCGGGGTGGGCAGGCCGGACCACACAG